CCAAATCATTTACATCTCCTAGCCAATAGAGCTTATGACTTAAAAGTGGTAATTGAATGTAACAGTAATTCCTATTAATTTTAATTGGAAAAATTTTTTGATTTTTAAAAAATTTTAACAATCTTTTGAGTTTATTTTTTAATTTTTATTTTATATTGGAGTATAGTTGATTTACAATGTTGTGTTAGTTTCAGGTGTACAGCAAAGTGATTCAGTTATACATGTATCTATTCTTTTTCAGATTCTTTTCCCATATTGGTTATTACAGAGTACAAATAGAGTTCCCTATGCTATATACAGTAGGTCCTTGTTGATTATTTTATATATAGTAATGTGTATATGTTAATCCTGACCTCCTCATTTATCCCTCCCCCCTGCCACCTTTACCCTTGGTAACCATTAGTTTGTTTTCTATGTCTGTGAGTCTATTTCTGTTTTGTAAATAAGTTCATTTGTATCATTTTTTTAGATTCCACATATAAGTGATGTCATATGATATTTGTCTTTCTCTGTCTGCTTTACTTCACTTAGTATGATAATCTCCAGATCCATCCATGTTGCTGCAAATGGCATTATTTCATTCTTTTTTATGGCTGAGGAATATTCCATTGTACCTAGAAGTGAGTTTAGTTTTTAAAAAATCACTGTTGAACTTTTTCTGATCAGGCTAGTGGTACAGTGTCTGGGGAAATGAGTGTAGCAGCACCATTGCTCTATTACCTGTACAGCTAACATCTTTAGTTCAAGGAGTATGTGATGTGACCAGATTTCCTGGAATGGTTTATTCTAAATAGTTCCATTCTTACAGTGGAAGTGACTTAAAACTCAATCAGACTGACCTTTTGTATTTCTTTTTTTTTTTGATATACAATATAGTGTTGTTAACTATAGTCATCATGCTGTACATTACATCCCCAGGACTTTTTATTTCTATTTTTTAATTTTTAAAAATTTTTTGGCCACGCCACGTGTGGGATCTTAGTTCCCCAACCAGGGACTGAACCCGTGCCCCCTGCCTTGGAAGCGCGGAGTCTTAACCACTGGACCGCCAGGGAAGTCCCTGAGAATTCAATTCTGATTAATGTAATGTTGCTGTACATAGACTAGCAACTTTTTAAGAACCTAACTACAATGACATTTGCTCAGTTACTAAAGATACAGTTAATCTTTTTTTTTTAATATTTATTTATTTATTTGGTTGCTCCGGGTCTTAGTTGCGGCAGGCGGGCTCCTTAGTTATGGCATGCAAACTCTTAGTTGCGGTACACATGTGGGATCTAGTTCTCTGACCAGGGATCGAAGCTGGGCCTCCTGCATTAGGAGCGCCGAGTCTTATCCACTGCACCACCAGGGAAGTCCAAGTTAATCTTTCTTTCATGATAGATGCTAAAGGAATTTTAGTACCCAGCCTCTGTTGATGTTATCATAATTTACAATTAGTTATTGTTGTATCAGAAGACCATAAAACTGCCTGTTAATAAAGTCCTCTGGTGGGTAAAGAGCCAGAAGGATACTATGTATCTATTAGAATCATGTCTAGCTAATGAGGAAGTGTGTTACCTTCTATTAGGCACAGCACAGCTTTAGAAACTTCCTACTGAAAGTGTTTCTTTTGCTTCTTCAGCATCTTCAAATAGTCGCCCCCTCCGTCTTATGAACAGCTCTGTCGGAGGTCTGGGCTTGCTTGTCAGTGTGCGGTCCACGGACCAGCACTGCATCACATGGGAGTTTGTTAGAAATGCAGAATCATGAGACCCTCTACAGACTAACTGAATCAAAATCTGCATTTTTACAAGAGCCCAAGCAATTTGTATGCCCACTGAAGTTTGAGACCCACTCAGCTAAATAGCCCTCCCCTCCCCTTTCTTATATTATCTTGGATTGCCTTCTTTTAGTGGGAGTAAGCAATACAAATGTGTTGTATGTGTACCTGCTTTCATTTGTGTAGGTGGAGAGAGAAATAGAACCATATTTAGTGTAAAAACATCACTTTTCCCCACAGGGGTACCTCCTGTAGCCATGTAATATGTTTGATTGTCTCGCACATGAGTTGATATTTCTAGCTCTGCGAACATCCAATGTACCTAGTCTCTTGGCTATGATACTGTTCCCCCTCCGCCCATTAGAAGCAAATTAACCATCTGCAAAAGATTCCAAAAGCGGAAAGGATGAGTCTGCAAACAAAGTGGCATTTTCAAGGCGGTCACTATAATTACAAGTATCTTACAAGCCTCCACTACGTGCAAGATACTGTGCTAATTGCTGGTAGTATAAGATCAATTAAATTGGGACTGTGCCTTCAAAGGATAGGAGTTGTGTAGAATAAAATGGTGTTTGCAAACACTGGAGTCAGAAGGTCTGCACTAGATCACTACCATCCACTTCCTAGCTGTGTATCCTTAGACAAGTTACTCAGCCCCTCTGAGCATCAGTTTTGTCAACTGTAAAATGGGGTTGATAACAGTGTCTTTCTCACTATATAGTTAGGAGGGTAAAATGAGATAGTGCATGTGAGGTAGTTAGTATATTTCATGGCATCTAATAAGCACACAGCACTGTTATTTACATACGTAACAACACTTATTCACTTACTTAGGGCAAGTGTAATTTGAGAAACACCGTAATAGAAGTATGCATGAAGTTCTCTGGCAATCTCAGGGAAAAGAGCCGTGCCTAAGTTAGGAAAGGAAGAGTTGTGTAGGGTTTCCCAGAACATGTGACTTGGGGGGTGGATTTTGAAGGATTAGTCAAGTCCACCAGGCAGAGAAGAGATAGGAGATACTCCAAGTGCAGAAAATATCAAGTACCCAAGTCCAGAGGTCTGAAAGTTTCTATCTGGGCAATAGCAAGTAGTATAATGGGACCAGAACGGACAGGGTGTGGAAAGAATGACTCAGAAAGGTTAACTGGGACCATGTCCTGGAGGGCTATGTGTTGATTTCTGTGTTTGAATTTGACAAAGCAGTGGAGAGCTAGTGAAAGTTCTTCCACTCTATGGAAGTGGGATAAGAAAGAATCTATGTTAGAGACTCTCAGATGTCTTTCCCTTTGCCCCATTTCTCCTAAACTCCAAATCCTACTTACTAGCTGCCTGCCATGGCCAGATTTCATCATATTCAAAACAAAATCCTTCCCTTCAGAATCTGTTCTCCTGCCTGTATACCCTCTCCTGAACAAATAGATAGCGTTGCCATTTCCTGAGTTCTTCAAGGTGAAAATTAACAGTCATCCTTGAATTGTCATTTTCCAGTAGCTCCTTCCTCTGTCATGCGCCTGGTCTCTTCCCTCTTCCCCTCCCTGCCCTGGACAAGTTAATTTTCTGCTTCTTGAATCCTGAATCCATCCTTTCTTCTTACTCATCACTGCCCCAGCCCTAACAGAGCCATCATCTTAACCCTCCTCACTTCCTCCAAAATGTCTTGAAACAAAATTGGGCTTCATTAGCCCCCGATTGCCTTCAGGTCACTGTCAACATTATTTACGTGACAGATTACACCCTTCGTACATGTTTCCTATTTTACTTGTAAATTCCACTAAAGGGTACTTTCCTCATCTCATTGTTAATAAATTAACTTTTGGTGTGGAAACAACCAGACTGTGACTAAGCACGTTTAATTTCATTGAGTGGAATTGCAGAGACTTCTTGTTAGGGCTACTTGTTAGAAATCTTAGAAGATTTCTTTCCAGTGGCATCACCGCCACCCTTTTGTAATTATATGAACCAGCTGGACAAGAGAATAAATTGTTTCTTAAAATGCACTGGTGTCTCTTGACTAGGAGCTTTGATTGTATTGAGTCACATACCCAAGATTCAAAGGGTGCACTTCCAGCTATTGTATCAAACTGTCATTTCCCAGACTTTGGATTCAGTTTTTACATTTGAAAAGAGATTTCAGAAACAGTGACAAAATGCTGCAGTTTCTCTTCTTGTTGTTACAGAATGACGATATGGTGAAGCATATTTGGTTAGTTTCCCAGATCAGTGCCTGTGTTCCTCATAGTTAAATAATAATTTTAAATTGTAATATAGTTCATTTACTTAGTTACCAGACTGTTGGTCTTCCTATCTGGGCTATCTGGTCTCTTTGTCTTCTTTTTTTTTTTTTTTTTTTTTTTAAGAAAAACATGATTTAAATGTAGAAAGGGATGATATAAGTTGTTTCAGGGCAAACAGAGTTCACCTGTTTCCTTTTTTTAAAAGGAATTCAAACTGTTGAATATTTTTACAGCTGTTTCAAAAATATCTATTTAGTTTACTAATCACTAAATTCCTTCTGAAAATTCTGTAGGAGCTCAATACCTACAATTACACTACTCTGTAAAAGGTAACAGGACACTAACAGTTTTCGCATTCCATAATTTCCTATTCCTCATTTTCTCCATTGTTAAAATTTAACATTTCTCTGAAAATGTTCTTTGTTTTAATTTACTACTGGAAGGAACTTTCAGGTGTGATTAATCCTATAAATATATAAACAAAGAAAAGACTATATATGTATATAGTAAATTAAAAGACCATATATGTATATAATAAATGTGTGTGTAATTAAAATATCAAAGGGCTGGTGTTTATACATGTGTTTTGTATGCTCCTGTAATGAAAATTAAATTTAGCATATGATAAAATAATACAAATAGGGAAACTGCTCATTCAGAATTTGCCATTATTAGGCAAATCCATATCTTTATATATAATCCTTTCTATTAAAAGGGCTTTTGGGAAATTGAATTCAAGCTTTTAAGTCACTACACACATTCATGCATAGGCACACGGGGGCCTATATTTATACTCTGCAAAGAACTTGAGAATTGTCCCTTAACTGTCTACTTTGCGATGATTTGGCCTTAATGTTTTTCACCAAAAATTTAGATATGATATTTGTAGATATTTCTTGATGAACAGTTACTTTCATTTTAAATTGGAAAATAATCTTCTTGCATCATGCGGGAGAAAATGAAACTGATTTGTGAAAAAATAAATGTTGATTTTTGTCTTTCAGACCTGAAGATTATCGGCTGTAAGAGAAGGAAAATTTCAGAAAATAACAGTGCGGTGATTGAAACTTCTTCCTGATGAGTTTCTCCTTCCTACAGGGCAGGGTGAAACAATTGCTGCCTTTTGACAAGAAACCTGTTTTGGGCGCTGAATGTTTGTGAGGAAAGGTCAGGAAGGGATATTCCTTCAATAGGAAATTGCAATAAAATACATTCTTTTATAGAATTGTTTTATTATGTAATCTGATTTGAATGTTATAATGATAAGAATAAAACTGCTTACTTGGTTAACTATTCAATTTCTCACTTAATGAAAAAAACCAAAACCTAGGTAGCACTGCAGTTAAAATTGCCAAGTGCCCATTCATGCAGATTTCCTCACGTTCCAGCTCCCTGTTTCTGACACCTGGGAAAACAAGGCCCACCTTCACTTTTCTTTTCAGTGACTATTTTATCTAACCTCGCATCATCTGAGTTCATCCCTCCAGCTCAGTAGGGTAAGGTTTGTCCTGAGGTATTTTCAAACTGCTTCACTTTTTTCTGTGTCCCATAGAGCCTCTTGGTTTCCATGACACCAAAATAACAAAGTAATGCCTATCTGCTCCCTAGAAATCTCACTGCCCCACCTGTGATGCTGTTTGCAGACCCCTGCACTGTGTGTCCATATCTCTCCTGTTGGCTCCTATTCACCTCTGTGCTGGGCACTGAGGTTGGACCGCCGGGATCAATGTGTCCAGCAAAATCTCCTCCCTGGGAATTAAAGTGCTGAGACACTGCGTTTGGGCATTTTTACGGTAGTTTTCTTCTCTTGCCCTAGCCAATCAAGGAGTCTCTGACCCCTTCTCCCGTTCATGCAGCAAACATGTACTAAGTGCCTGCTATATGCCAGGTGTTGGGGAAACAGAAATCACACATGTCTTCCCGCAACACCTCCATGCCCCACCAAAGAGCAGAGTGTCTATTGCAGGGCGGAAAGGAGCTGTAGATAGATTTGTAAATAAGTGCACCTGGGTGTCAGACATGCTGATAAAACTATGTATGAGCTGTGATATAAGTACATTTAGGGGAAAGCAGTATAACATTAAATATAAAGTACTGATAGTAAGCACCTGATAATATGCCAAAAACAACTGCTTTATATACATTAAAATTCATTTAATCCCTATATCACCCTATAATGTACATAATGTTACCTCCCCATTTAAAACTGGGCACGCTGAGGCAGCAATAAGTAACTTGGCCAAGGTCACAGAACTGCTAAGTGGCAAAATGAGGTTTGGATCCAGGCAGTCTGCCTCAGAAGTCCATGGACTTAGTCGCCACTAGGCGAGAAAAAGTATTTATGTATCACAAATTCTGTAATAAAGCAAGCATGACCTGGTACAGGTCAACAGCTACCATTCAAGGAAGTGGCAGTTACAGTTTAAACTATTGGACCAAAAAGAAGCCCCATCCCTTTTGATGTGGTGCTCTTGGGTGTGAGCCCCCAGCTCCCAGTGCAGCAGCTTTAGTAGGGAGGAATTCTTGTCTGGTATATCCCAAGCACCTAGAACAATGCCTGGCACATATTTCTTGATTGAGAAGGGCTCACTGAAGGAAGCCCTTGTTTCTAACACAGCTGCAGGATTTGAAAAGGTGAGATCATAGCGACATGCTTTATAATAATATTGAGCCCAGTCATCATACCGTCAGCCCTCCACATCCATGGATGCAGAACCCACGGATTCAGGGGGCCTATTGTATCACACCATTGTATGGATGGGACTTGAGATCCTTGGATTTTGGTATCTGCAGGGAGTCCTGGGAACCATTTCCCCGTACATACTGAGGGACGACTGTACTGAATATTCAGGAAGAATAGAGACTGATCACCATAACCCTCATTCTCACTTGCTGTGCGAGAGTCCTTTTGTAGGGGGAGGGGTTGCCTGAACTACAGACCCAAGTAGACCTAAACGGGCTATATTGTTGGACTGAACTGCCCCTCCTGCTGTTGGGAGTTAGCTCCATTTTGCATTCGGAGAGAACCAGAGCAAAGAGGCTTTTGCACCAAGTGGCCTTGAGAAGCAGAAGCTATCAGACTTCCCAATCCTGCCCATTTGCCATTGCTTGAGAGTTTAACAGCCAGATCTGTGCGTTTCCTAGGAGAACACAAACACAGTAGCCAAATAAAAATCAAAACTCGCGGGCTTCCCTGGTAGCGCAGTGGTTGAGAGTCCGCCTGCCGATGCAGGGGACACGGGTTCGTGCCCCAGTCCGGGAAGATCCCACATGCCGCAGAGCGGCTAGGCCCATAAGCCATGGCCACTGAGCCTGCGCGTCCGGAGCCTGTGCTCCGCAGCGGGAGGGGCCCCAACAGTGAGAGGCCCGCGTACCGCAAAAAACAAACAAACAAACAAACAACTCGCTGTATAGGACCCAGGAACTTGAGGCGGGGAAGACAAGCTGAACCGCTAGAATTGTAGCTCCAATTAAAGTAGAATGAACAGAAGAAACAGAAGAGAACTTTAAAAAATACGAACACTTACAGAAAAAGAAGGAAACCCTAGTTATTCCAACATCACATGGGAAGGAAAAGAAAGCATATATATATATATATATATATATATATATTCTGTTGCGATGTGTGCCTGTAACGTGCAAATTAGCGCAGATAAGGAATGAAGTCACTAAAACCAAAGTTATATTTGTCCACATGCAGTTTTTCACCAGGTGCTATGTGTTATGCTATTAACACCAGGTAAATGAGAAAAACACCATCCAGTTGAGCATAATGACCTGTGAAAGAATAATACACAACACCTGTCTCTCCATTTTACCTACATGCATTGCCTGCTTTGTCTGCTCAGTAAAACATAAGTGTCCTGATTCTAATAGCAAAGGAAAAGCCTTAAATATTGCAGAGTTTTGAAACATAGAAAATGTGATTTTGCAGTAGCCAGCGGGTGGGGGGCGGCGCATAAAGTAATCACATGAATGAATACAGAAACAACACTAAAAAAAAAAGACAAGAGCTTAATCTTAACCTCCCAATAATCACCTGCTTCCTGGGGCACTGAAAACCGAAAAGCACTCATTTGCAGTCGGTAAGGATAACTGCAAACCTCCTGCAGCAGGAGAGCACTTTGTGTCATCTGATCTCATTTGGGTTCCCACAAATGGCTTCCTTTTGAGAGGGGTCAATTAACAAAACAATAAAAGAACTATTGTTTCTTTAAAACAGCAACCCAATATTTTCTCTCCTGAAGGAGAGATAAAAAACATATTCAGGCCAATGAGGAATAGGAGGAACCAAACAGGCTCAGTTGGGGAGGGTCTACCTGGGGCTTCCTGGATCCAACTCACCATACACAGAGTTTGGGGTAGAGGAGGGTGGGCCCTTCTATGACGCTTTAGTCCCCTATCAAGTTTCTGAATTGCCACTTTCCAGGTCCCTTTTCTGTCTTAAGCCCATTCAGCGGAACGAAAAGCAACAATAAACCACAGCCATCTACCTCTGATTTCCTGTTTCATTTAAAAAAATATAACCTTCCTCCCAGCTATTCTCCATGGTTCAAAAACCACAACTCTTCACCATCAACACCTCTGCCGAGCAAACTTCATGTCTTGTCACAATAGCATACTATATTTAATACAATGTTTCCTTATTAGGAACTTGTGATATTTAAAACTGTGATAGTTTCCTTGTATCACTTACAAGACGGTATAAGGTTTGAGCTTTTCTGCCTCAACTCCATTTTTCCCATAAACCCATAATCCATCATGCAGGGATTATTTTTTAGGAATGCATATGCCGCATTATAGGACAGACAGGTGTACTCACTGTAAATCCTGGTTTAGCTCATTCTTCCATCAGGCGGACTCTTCATCCAGGGTCCTACGAGGTCACACTGGCTCAACCCCAGCAGAAGTCACCACCTAGGATATACTGTACAAAAGTCTGCTGCCATCCCTTTATCACGTCTGGGTTGGAGTAGGGCCCACCTACTAGTGACGTCATTGCCACAGCCTGCCCTCATCTCCAGGCCTGGGGTATCCCCAGGGTTCCATTAGGACCTAGCAGGTGGGCCAAGTTAGAGCTAACTTCTAAAGCAGGTCTTTAAAGCCATCCTTTACCCGGAATGCAATCCTTTCTTTTCTCATCCTACTTCTTACTCTAAATTTACAAAACGAATACTAAGAACTATGGGCACTGAGATTGATAAATAATGTCTCTTTGTTTAGATAAACTGGGCCACAAGCTGGCCCAGAGGCTAGGGCCGTAGTGATGAAGTAATGCTGCCATCTTTAAAAGTGACTGAAGAGCAGAATTTTGTTTTACTTGTCAGGTGTAACCCAAACGAAGGAAGTTTTTTTAAAAAAATGCATGTAAATTGCAGTTATCAGATTCTTACTAGAGTCCCTTCCTCTCCTTTCTTGCTAATTCCCTCCTTGCTAGATCCAGGCACCGTCACTATGCCTGTGCTCCATCTTTTTTCTATGCTGCATGATTTGTTTCCCTACCTTCTCCTGGAAAAGGGGTTTAGTACCACAGTCGGCCAAGAACAACATTAAATGTCCAGGTGTCTCCTGGCTGAAAATTCTCCCATAGACCGGTAGCAAGTTCTGAGTCTGCAAAGCCTAAAAGCCCCAGGAGGGATTTTGCTGCCTATCTCTACAATGCTAAGTTTGAATTGGATAGAACCCTATTTAAGAAGGTATGATCTTTCCAAGACAGACATTAAGACTCCATATCAACTTAAATATAGGTTCTTGCAGAGAAATAGCCTCTCTCCCTCCCCCCAACCCCGTCTCTCCGCAAAAACTTAAAATAAGAGAGTTGAGTAGTTTTGCAGCATCACTGCTGCTCAGGGCTTCACCTTAGATGAATGTTAACCTGAGATCAGCTACCAGTAAAACGGCCAGTCACTCCACCTGAGGCCAATTTTTATTAGGCTGTAGCTGCCAGGAAGGTTTAGGATACATTTTCCACATGAAGATGGCATAAACAGGACCACTGAAGGAGACACACATTTTTGCCAGTGCCATTTGGTCCATGAGAAGCTCTTCGATTTTCAACAAAGTCTTTATTTCAAGTCTTGACTTTGCTTTCACTGCCTTCACTTTTCAATTCCAAAGTTAATACCTATTAAAGTCTTGCAAACAGTGGCTGTCAGAAGAGCAACTGCTGCTCGTGGCACACCTGTGCTTTATCTGTTGGGGTTATGGAGCTCCAACTCGTCAACCTGTATTAAACCATCGAGAATCAACACTTTAAAATGATGATGCCATCTGGCATCTTCTTTACCAATC